AGTTACTTTTATTTTTCTTTTCAATTTTTTACACTTAAAAAATCAAAAGAATTCACAAAATTTCCTGGGATGGTAGGTATAGCCACTACTCAGCTTTATTTAGTATATTAATATTGATTTTAAATTTTTTTATGATATTAGTTAGATATTGTAGAAGTAGGCAAGCTAGCATTTAACTTGTTGTATGCAATACACCCAAGAGATATTGTTTCTTTCATGATGTATACCATGTTATATACAATATCAAATAAAAAAATGATGTTTATCTACTAAGGAAACCTTCCCCAAAAAAATAAAAAAAAAAATAGTATTTACCTATAAAAAAAATAGTATTTACCTATAAAAAAAATTTATTATTATTATTATTATATTTTTGTTTTTTAATTTAAATATTAAGATAAAAATATTTTGAATTTTTTATTTTGAATTTTACTAATAGATTTTAAATTTATTAAATTGATTTAAAATTGTTAAAAAATTTTTTAATTAAAATATATTTGTTAAAAAATTAATTAAGTAAATATTAATAATAATATTTATTTATATTTAATTAAAATTAAAATTTTTATTATTTTGAATTTTTTTTGATTATAAATATATTATAAATAATTATTTTTAAAATTTTTAATAACAAATTAAAATATGTAAACTTTTTAAATTAAATAAAAATTTTAAATTTAAATTTTAAAATTTTTTTTTATTATAAAAGAGTATTAGATGCAAAACTTTATTAAGTATATAAATTAATACACAGATTACATCAAATATCTCTATATAATATATGTAAATTAATATTTTAATTTGTTTTAAATACGTAATAAAATATATATAAAAAATATTAATATTTTAATTTAAATATATATAATAATAATAATAATTTTAACTTAACTTAATTTAAATTAATAAATTTTTAAAATTTAATTTAAATAAAAAATTTTTTTATCTATCTCATATAATATTTAAAAAAATTTTATTGTAAATTATTTTAAGCAGAATTAAAAAATTGATAAAAATTTTATTGTTATTTTTTGAAATTATATAGTTTTTAATTTACTATATATTATATATAATTTTAATTTAAATTAATATGGTTAAATTAATTTATTAAAAAAAATTATAACAGGTGTTATATGTGAAACTTTTGTAAATGAGAAATTTAGAGCCATTACATTAAACATCATCCACTTAATAATAAAGTTAATGTTATCTAATTAACTATTACTAAATTAACTTACCAATTAAATATTAATAAAAATTAATAAAAATTAAATTAAATAAATGAAAAAATTATAAAAAACAATTACAGTAATTAATATACGTACTGTATATATAAAATAATTAAAATAGGAACTATTTTTTATTCATAATAGAATTAAGGTTATTGATTTTTCGTTGCCACCTTTTTTTAATTTTATTTAATATATTTTTTTATTCTTAATAACTATTTATTGAAGAAAATTTTAAATTTGCCCAAAGGCCTTTGTAAAAAACTTATATAATTTTAACAAGTACAGTATACTTATAAATTATTTTTCTCTAACTCGTTCCTTCACGTTTGAATATTTTATTATTTAGTTTATACATCGTTAGACAAGTAAATTAGGTAATCAAATAAGAAAGAAATCTAAACCTAACACATTTTCGCTTAACAAAATCTAAGGGAATCATCCAAGCCTTAACTCATCCTTCACAGACAAATGGATTGAACGATACAATTAATGTTGTACAATATCCAATTATGGGTATTAATCGGGAAGGAGTATTGTACTCATGAATGAGAATAACATTAGAGAATAATTAACGAGTAATATTCAAAAGAAAATAGCCGTTCACAATGTTTTTCCCAAAACATCATCGACCTAATGGCGGTGTATCGTTGAGCTTTGGTCTATTTCGTTCGGTCAATTCAATTTTTCTATTATTTCAACCAAGGAACGGGATCAATATTTCAATTGTTAAAAAAAAAAAAAAAGTACCAAATTCCGTAGAAAATACTTACGCATACCATGCTCCTACACACAAAAAGATAGAATGAACATGATAAGGATTAATAGTTTTAATACAATATACGTATACCAATTAATATGATTACTAACCCCCAAGTAGAGTCAAAAAGATACCAAGGCCATTTGTTGGTGTTATTGTCAATTTAAATATTGCGACTGCCAAAATGATTGATAGAACTTGTTTTACGTTGCCGGCCACGGTCATAGTTAAGGCCGATGTCTTTTTATTTGCTGTAAAACTTACAACGTTAAGAAAGAAGGCAATGACACCATTTGTGAGAAGGGCAAAAACCAAAGATGAACTCATTTCCGTTCGGCTAAACACGCGAACTCGATGCAATTCTCCAGTAACGTAAGCATAGATTACAGTTTGAACAAAGGCTAAGGGTGACATACGTAACAACAAATCTAAGGGGTGAAGCTTAAGACGACCAACTTGAACACGATTTGTAACAACCGTCTTTAAAGCAGCCAGTATTGTACCAAGCACAGTCAGAAAGAAGCCTTTATAAAAAATTATTATTATTATTAAAATATTAGAATCCGAATATATAATAAACAATTTACATTATGGTTTACTTACCCATTTTTGTGAAATAGTAGTCGCCTACAGTTGCAAATATAACACCAAATACAACCTAAAAAAATTATTATTGTTAATTTCATAATTAATCATCATTTTATTTTTGAGGAATTCTGCTTTGTCCCTACCGGAACCAAGGAAATATACGTCATAGTCGAGAAGTTCTTTTTTAGGAAAGCAATTGAGAGGATAATAGTGAAAATAGGGGTCATCGCTCGTACTACTTGATGGAACTAATGATTTAAGTGTTCGATCAATATTCAATAGTTTAAATCTCAAAACAAAATTATCAATAATCATGAAAGAACTTACCGGTACAGTAACTAAATGTCTATGTGATAATGAAATATTGAATAAACGAGTATAGGTATAAGTAAATTTCCGCGCACAAGATAATCAGTTAAGTAACTAGACGAAGTTTCCATTTCAAATAATCATCACACTCCAACCTTACTACATTGGATCATATGATACGACAAATCCCACTATATATCTGTATCCTTTAGGGGATATTACTCCGACGGCCAGTAAAAGTTTTGAAAAGCAACTTACAAAGACACGTTACTGATAGCAATATTTATGGTATACAGAACCGAAAAAAGCAGCATCACCATACTCTCGCGTTCATTCAATCGTGCTGGTGAAAATAATCCTAACCAATATAATAAATAGGACCCGATCGCTCCGCATAATGCGTGCACTCCAGTTAATGTCCATGGATAAGGAAACTCAAATAATTGCATGACAGCTTTGTTATATAATGTGAGTGCGAGATTAAGAAAAAAATAAAGCGCAAGCCACATATAGGAGCTGTCGAGTAAGATAAAGTCCGCCATTTGGATCGGAATTGCCGAACGGCTGTATTGACTACTCATCGGAATCAAAGGTAGCAGGTTGGTGATATGAGTTCAGAAAGCTGTATATGCGTAGAATCAGACTTGCTCGGAATGTACGTTTAGCAAGAAAAAGTTGTTATTGATGGCTCTTCCAGCGAGACTTTTTCAATGCGCATTCAAAATAAATACTACAAAACAAGAAGGACGGGTAATAGAACAGTTCCAGCACGTGGCCATCCTATTAATATTACCGCTTTTTTCATTGGTATATCGACATTCCAAAAGATTTTTTTTTGAAACTTAGGGATTTTCAACTGCTATTTATATTCTTTTTTTATTTAACAATTAAGGTTTAACGTTGCTATTTTTATGTACGTACGTACTTTCAAAAATTTATTTTTCAATATCCTTAATGCGCCCCTTAAAAGCTTAATAAATACGCATTTATGAAAAAAAATTCTAAGAATTTTATATATTCATACTGTATATCGCGTAATTTATTAAGACAAACAATTTGTATAGCATAACAAAAATTAAACCTTTTTTTTTTATAGTGAACGGACAGAATATGTCCGAGTGAAAATTAAAATAATATGAATAATTTATTTTATTTTTTTTAAGAGGTGCTAATGTGAGCAGTGCTGCAGTTTGTTTAATGATATATATATGATACCACTAAGGACTTATACAAATCAGTAACTACGTATTCCTTGCAGATTATTTCACTTACTCACCTTTTATCAGGTTCTAATAATCTTGACAAGATTATACTATTAAAGTATCAAGAGGCAGATCTATCAGTTTACAAACTACTTAACTTATATATTAGTTTGGCTTAATAGAAGAAAAATTTTAATTAAGAAAATTAAACAGATGTTTCTATTTATCTTGTTCAATTATCATGGAATAATTGTTAGTTGAAATTAATTAAAATAAAATATAGTCCAATCTGTATATTCAAATATATTATTATTAGATATTATTTTCAATAATATGAATAATTTATTATAAATAAAACAAATATTTTATTTTTTTAATAAATAGAGTTTTTAATAGTATT